TTCAATTACCCTCTCCCATAATTTTAAAGTATGACACATTAATTTAATTCCTCTATAATTTGCACACTCTTGTGCATCCCCTTTATTCTTAAAAATGGGGACCAAAATACTCTTCCTCCACTCCACAAACATCTTTCACGATATGATAAAAGCCAAAATTTGTTTTTCAATAAATTCTTTTATTTCAACTGTGAAGTTATTGTAGGTTCCATTCCTCACCTCTCTCTTTACCTCTTGATACTCATTTAATAAATTTTAGCTTGATCAAGTAGTTTCATTTTAACAGTTATCTTAAAGATCATCTACATCTAATAATCGAACATTAAAACTAAGATTAACTTTACCATCACATATAAACACTTTCACTTTACTCTTATCAACATCATTTATATCAAAATTTTGCATCTATGATTTCCAAAAACGTCGTTGATAAAGATCGTGAATTATCTAAAAGATTTATTTATCTGCTACCACAAATATCATTCAAAATGAATTGATTCAGCCATTGTGATTGGAACCTACATCAGGTTCACATGCATGAACCTTATTGGCTTCCAAGTTAACAATTCTTAATTTAACAATAGTGATGCCATCACACATTTGATTTTATTTGTTCAACAGATTAGTCAATTAATTGTAATAAGTTCTTAAAATTTCATCCAATTCACAACCTGTAACGTTTCTCTGATAAATATTGCTTTCTAACAGGTCGTTAAAATCTAAGACCGGCACCAATTTGATAATAAAGTTTCCAAATGCAACTAAAAGCATGTGCAGCATGCTTTCGAAAATGACTACTAACTAAATAAGTCACCTTTTTCTAATGCAAATAATCAATAGTATTCTTTACGCCAAATTGGTAAGAAAATGAGTAAAAATTTAAAAATTAAAACAAGAATATGGAAACAAATAAAATCAATAAGCAAATAAATTATTTTCACATAACTTGATGTATGATGTATCACTTTTTGACCAAAATAAAGAGTACTAAACTAATAATAACAAACTAAGTAAAAGAAATTAATAATGAACGAAATTACCGAAGCACAGAAAAAAAAACCCCATGGCCAAATGAGATGTTTCCCCTTAACTAGGTTGTTACACTTCTACAATGATTTAATGAATCAGGCATCTAATTTGCACTCATAAGAGTAAAAATTGGTGGGAAACTCTTGTTCAAATTGAAGGTTATGTATTACATACTTTAGACCATTATTTATAGACACAGCATTCGTTCATAAATAAGGTTGGCATAGGATTAGTTTTAATCAAAATTTAACTTAATCATAATTTAATTATTTTAATTCCATAGACAACAAACTCAAACAAATTGAAATCTATAAAACTATATCAAATATGCAGACACACTTACCAACCCTTGAGACAGATAAAAACAACGCCCACATAAATCACAAGTTTGACATAGACAAAAATCCCACCAATAACTTGTGCCCATGAACTATTGCATTAGAGCCCTTATCCAAAAAAACAAAAACCCTACACCTGCACCTCCACAAAGGCATGCCCAAATGTTTTTCTTTTTTGTTTTTTTTTTTTCAATACACCAAAGCTAAGGAGTTTGGGGTGGTTGCAGCTTTTATAGAGATGGTTGTAAAACTATGGTGGAAATACCAACTTCTTAGAAAGTTGAGGTGGAATTTATATTTTTTTTAAAAAAAAAGAAAATCAGACAGTAGCTTTATTATGACCACCGCACTTTAACAGATCAAGTTGAAAAAAATAGCTTGTCACCACATAAATTATTAAAAAATAGAAAGAAATTTATTCTCCAAACGAAACTGTGGTGACCGTCTGAAATACAAAGCAGGCTGAAAGATGTCTTAAACAGACCCTAAGTCCAGTCATGTGCCTCTAACAAAACCTACATATCCATATTTTTAAAATAATGTCAATCGCCACCTTAAATAGAATCCTTTTTGATTCTTTGAGATCAAAACATTCTAGTTCATTGATCCATTACTACATGTAAGACTCATGTCTTTGATCTTCTTATAATTATCACTCTCATAAAAATCTTCTTTATTCTTAAATATTTACAATAAAATACTTTCTCCAACCGAGTGTACTGCATCTAGTGTATTGCATTCCAAATCCATGGGTTTTGAAAATTTGGACTCTCCCGCCCACCCCACCCCAACAACAGCGTTTATTGCTTCTTCACACATCTCATTAATCCAACCAACGCCTTGGTTTCAAATCTTTACTGATGATCAAACTACTACAATCTCATCAACAAAACTTCAAATCTCATAAATATGACATTACCCAAATTTTACATCAATACACCTTGTTGGTTAATTTCACTCTAATATTTTAAATCAATCCAACATATGTCTCATTAGTTTGTTCATTTACTCTTAAATTTTTTTTTTTTTTGAGAAAACTCATTTAATGCTTCTCAACAGAACATCTTCATTGTTTATTTCATGTCTTCATTTTTTCATATCTTCACAGTTTATGATAGGATAAAAATAAAAAACAAATAGCATTCACTCCTACAGTGACAATCTCCAAGTTCAGTTTGAATAGGCAGTTTCCTTGTCTTACTTCAGGGAAAATTGGAATGCAAATCACTTGAAAACTCATTTTGAAGGTTGTCAGAACATGCAAACATAGAGAGAAGATCAATTAACTGTTGTTATGACCTCAGTATCTTGGAAGGTGCCAGATTATCAATAATATAAACACTTTCCCATAAGAAGCTTACTGTTTTCAGCACAGCACATTGAAAATTGGTCCATGTGATAAAAGCTGGAAAAAATATTGAAATTGTTGATCACCTGGACTTTAAGAAAAGACAAACTTTTTCATAGAAAATAAAGTCTCCTAGAAATGACCTTAGGTTTACACTAGACCATCTTTCAGATTTTCTAAATTCTTACATGGCGAACATTTGCAAGGTTTAAAAAATGCTCTCCTTCAAGGCTATTCATCCTCGGAATGAAAATATAATTTAAGAGGCTTTTAAATGCTTCTGAGGACTAGGAAACTTTCATCAATAGAAAGATAAAGAGGTAAATGAATGGTTGTAAATTAGCAATCTATTCGCCAAAAAGAAATCTATGTTATTAGGCAGCATAACTCTGAAAATACTAATTTAAAAATATTCTCAGAACAAATTCAATATAATATAGTTCAGAGTAAATATTTTCAAAACTAACATGTAGCATGAAATTCCTTCAAAAGCACACAGCCCATCCTCTAAAATCTATTACAGCTACTTCTCACAAATGAAATGACATGATAAATTGTGATTTAAATCGTTTCACTTACAAAATACAAGTTCTTAAACTACATATCTTGGTGGAATTCGAGATGGGATCTTTTAAACTAAACTCAGGTAATAAGACACATGTAAATTCATCTATCTTCAACTAAGAAATAGATGCATGACCCTTGCTGATGAGATCAAAATGCTAACCCGAATCTTAAAAGCAACGAACAACAACATCCTCGAATATTGCTTCAGGATTTCCAAAGCTCTCACGAATTCAAATAAACAATCCACTAAGCAATTAAAAGGGCATAGGATTTAAGAAAATAGTTGTAGTGTCTAATATGTAATTTATGTCAGCAATAGTATCAATCATAAACAATTACTACTAGAAGATGAAGAGGTTTAAAAATATTAGATCTATTAAGCAAAAGAATAAGAATATAAATAAGAGTATAAAATATGGAGTGGCTAGATTATTAAAATGAAAAAATGCTATTATGCTATGCGATAAAAGAATAGAATATAGACCTTAAAAGAGATTTTATAAAACTATAATAGGGTCAACTATATTGTGTTAGGTTCTTAAGAAGTTTCACAAAGAATTTTTGTGTAAAAATATGAGAAGCTTAATATGAATTTCCAGAAAAATAAGGAAGATGGGTTGAAAAACAAGTATATCAAAGGTACGATGAGAATAATGTCTATTAGAAATAATGTTGAAAATAAGAAACTTAAGTGATTTGGGCATGCACAAAAAAGGATAGAAATGTGCATCAATTTGAAAGCCAGTTAAAAATATGTAAAAGGATTAAATAGAAAAGGGCTAGACCAAAAAGGATAAAAGTTTTGCAAAATTGGCTTAATATTAGCACTCACCATGGATGGATGAAAATTATAATTCAAATAGCTGAGCCCAAATAGTTTAACAAAAGGTCCACTAATGATGAACATAACAATACACAAGATAGAAAAATTGAACAAAAAGTCGTATCAAGAGTTTCAAAATGTTGCATAAATCATACCAACATCGATGCCATAGATTAATCACAAAAAAAGTTCTAATGGAACCTATAGACTCATCAAGAGGATGAGGCACATGAAAATATCAAGATATTCAACCTTACACCTTATCGGCTCATCATTTGATTGAAATTATGAACAGCCAATTTGAAACAAATTCAAGCCTTGAATGGATTTTTCCAAAGCTGTTCTCCAATTTTTAATTGTTTTATTTAAAAAAAAATCAGAAATCAAATCTTTTTAACATTATGTGAAACAAGGTTGATATTTAAAGTTAAATTTGATTAAAAAGAAATGATCTGGAAAAGATGAACAGTGGCTATGTATGCCTACATGATCTTCCACTTCAATACGGCTAAAAGATAGGATTGTTGAAAAGTGAAACTAGTAAATAAGTAATCAAAAGGAATTCATTGATGCCCATAAGAAGTGGTTGTTAAGTGATAAATAAGAGCTCACCTGCAGCCCTGTATCTATAAGGATAGGTCCTCAGAGGATCCAACTTTGATGCCATATTAAGGTCACTTCTTGCCATGTCACGATCACAATATTCTGATCGTTTTTCATACGCTGAAGCATTGTTTTTAGCCTTTTCAATCAGCTTTGTCATCTCATCATAAGCTGCTTTCTTTTGGTTCTTAAGATAAAAAACACGAGCTAGACCCTGATGGGCACGTGTGTGCTTGATGCCCAGAGCCTTCATGTAGCATTCGGCAGCCTCATCCAGCATGTCACAATCCACATAAACGCTTCCCATATTGTTATGTGCCTTTCAAAACAATGTTTTTATAAAATCAGGTAGACTATCAAGAAAAATAATGAAGCAAATATCATTTGTGAATGTATGACAACCAAATACTCACCTGCCCTTTTCGGAGGTTATCAGAAGCACAGCTATTAGCTTGTTCCAACAGCTGAATAACTTGGGCAGAAGATGCCTGGTCTAGACTTGTATCAGCTAGAGCATATGCCTTCAGGAAAAAAGCTTCAAATGATCTCTGAAGAGCAATAGACTCTTCTGCCTTTGCCAGTCCTTCCTTGCGATGACCACTGTCATATAAAATCCAACCTTCATAAATAAGCCTCTCATGTTCACTAGTCGAATGATTTCGAGCCATCCGCAGACTGTGCATTGCAGCCTTCTGACAATTCAACCTACATTTAAAAAACACCAAATATGATGATTTAGAGCATAAGTTCAACACATAAATCAATAACTATAATATGATTTTCCAGAAACACTTTCCAGGTTGATATTAAAGGTTCACGAGATGGTATGCGTTGTTATAGCATAAGGCCATGTTTCTATGATACAATATCAATAAAGAAAAACAGAGATTTCCGGCAGAAATGTAAACGCTACAATAGGACTAGATTTTCCAGTTCTTAAGTTTAATAAAAAGTAGTCTTAACAGCAAAGGTTATTCAATGCATTATGCCTCGTGTCATTAAGGCATTGGGGTGGAGAAAACAAACAAGAACTCACTAAGACATCTGGTACTTCCCCTTTTTTCCATTTTCTAACTTCCACTTTCTCCATGCACCGACATAAATTCCACAGATGTAAAGGTTCAATAGTCGGAGAAATCCTCTTTACTGAATAATTTAGTTAAATAGCAATCCCAGAAGACAAGGAAACAGCAGTCTCCGGATCACCATGATCAACATGATCAATATCAAAACCCAAGCACATGAAAAAAGACAAGACCATCATATGAATTTCAAAAGCACTTGCCTTAGCAGAAGAAGAGATTGCCTAAACCGTAAACTGCTGTTTCCAGGCTCGTTAGTCAGCATCTGGTGCACCACAGCAAGCGAACCAATATCATCTACAGCAGACCACCGGTCATACAGTTGCATCCAACAGTCAGCCATATCGCAGGGCTGCACATATTGCCTAAGAGTATCAATCAGTTGATCCCCATGCATCTTCCCATGAAACATCATGTAACCAGGATCCAAGGTCAAGATAGCCCTGATATCCTGCAAAGCCAACTCATAACTACCAAGAGCCAAATAGAACCATGCCCGCAGCTCAAGACAATCCGTTGAAACCTTGAACCCTAGGATCTTGCTGATTTCTGCAACGGCTGCACCAAGTTTATCCTCCTCTGCCAGTGTCACAGCCCTATATTTATAAGGATAAGAGAGAGTTGGATCAAGTTCCGTGGCAGTGCTCAAGTCATTCATCTTCTCATTGCCATTGCAGTATAAAGAACGTTCCTGATGCATCCAACCACAGGAAGGGTGCTCAGACATCATGCTATTTAGAAGCTTATAGGCAGAGTACTTGTGCCCTTTTTTGTACTTCGCCCTAGCTACGCCAACAACAGAATACGCATGCCCTTCCTTCACGGCTACCTCAAAAAATTTCTGTGCATCCTTGTACTCGCCCCTCTCAAGCATTACACAACCCAGTTGATGCATTGCAAGCTGCTTCTGCCACCCATGGGAAGCACATTCACCCATCCTCTCCAGAAGCATTACTGTAGTGTTCGACCTCAGGTCCTCCTCCATGGCTACCTGACTTAGGAAGTAGTATAGAGCAAACGAGGCGTGACCAGCCATCGCCAGCCGCTCTTTGCCCTCAGGACTGCACAAAATTAAGTTGATCTCCGGCCTTTGCAGAGACCTGGGCAGCTCGCGGAGGAAAACCTGGAGGCAGGCGGCCACGAGCAGGTAAGCCGCTTCTTCCAGAGCATCGTCGATAAAGAGGAGGGCGTCGTCCAAATTGCGGACAAGGGAGGCAAGCTTCGAATCGCAGGCGGCCTTGAGATCCTCGCAGCAAAAGCAATTAGCAAAGGCAAGGACCTCGAGTACGGTGTCCGGCGGATAGTCATTTAGGGAGCCACCGCGACTGAAAGCTTCTACGGCGCGCATGGCACGGGCGGAGATGCCGTTATGGGTAAAGTTAATGCGCTCGAAGCAAGTCTCGGCGAAACCGCCGTAGAGCAGCGTTGCACCGTAGAGCAGCGTTGCAAGGGGTCTGGATAGGGAGGCTATGCTGCCGCGTACGCAAGGTATCTCCTCCTCGCCAATGCAAAACCAGAGATCAATGTCTTCTACGTCGAGATCAGGTGGCCGAGCCGGAGTTGATGAGGGGGCAGATGGATCAGCGATGCAGCGGCAGGGGCAGGGATCAAAGGGGACGTCAGGAGCATAGCCTGGAGAGAGCGCGGCACGGGGGCATTCTAGAGCGGGCGAGGTCGAGGAGCAGGAAACAGGTGAAGGGAATGGCTCGAACTCGTCCTCCCGCCGCTCGTAGCGAAGCCAGGCGGAAAGGACAACCTTGTGGTGGATATCCCGGGAATGGATACGCGCAGAGCGGAGAGCGCGGCGGAACAACTTCGGGTCGTCAATGCCGCGTAGGAGGGCGCTGTGCTCGAGATGGATGTTACAGAGCGAGTTGGACGGATGCGAAGATGAAGGGGATGAAGAAATGTAAGAGGATAAGGAGACGAAGGCAGATGCAAGGGCGTCCACTTGTTCAATGGGACGGAAGAAAGGGTCGATAGACGGGTGAATGAGATCGGGAGAGGGAAGACCAAAGGTTGATAGGAGGGAATCCAGAGAAAGGGTGTGATGGTGATGGTTTTGATGCTGGTTATTAATTGGGTTGGACTCCTGGCTGATAGATTTAGAGCGAAGGGAGAACGTTGGTCGGAAGCTCGCTAGCCTCTCAGCAGCGGTGGCGACGGTGGCCGAGGGATTCAGCGCGTATACCTGCGTGCTTTTACACCCGTCGATCAGCTTCATGCTCCTTATACTCGTCAGAAAATTGTTCTGCATCTTTCCACTCTTCTTTTCTTTCCTTGTCCTCTCCCTTTTATTTTTTTCCTCCCCTCCCTCCGTTCTCTTCGAACTTCCCTCCGTTGTCTTCGAACTTGGATCTCCCCTCCCTTTCTTGTTTTCTCTCCCTCTCTTAGTGCGTCCCTCTCCTTCTCCCTCTCCTCACTGTAGCGTGTAAGGAAAATGTTGGATTGAAATCTGGAAGGCATGCATAAACCAGGAGAGAACGGAGGGAAGGGCGTGATGCAGACGAGGGAGAAGACAGGCACCTCTTCCCTTCACCTCCGCTCCGTTTATTTTTCTTTTTCTTTTTCTTTTCGCCTTAATTATATTTTCTATATTTAAGAATCAATCGGACCACCGGAACAAAAAATAAAAATAAAAATAAAAATATTTGAAAAAAGAAAAAAACAACCGGAGATAAAAGCATCGAAGAGAGAGAGTCGTTGACGAGGTGGTGGGCGTGCGAGCTCCTCTTCGAAGAATTGGCTGGCCTTAGCTTTCGAATGCCTTAAAACCATCGCTGTGCTGACGGGAGTGGTTCGCTGCGAAGAGGAGGCCCGTGGTGCACGGCCTCGCAAAGCTTAAATTAAGAAAATGGGCATTTACAAATATATCACCAGATTCTTACGTGTTTACATACCTAACACCTAAATTTTAATTTTTATAATATTGTCAATTTTTTTTTTTAACTTTTTAAAAATGAAATATTCATGTAGAGGCAAGGTTGCATGTATGTCAAAATTGAAGTTTAAGTGCAAGATATGTAGGGGCAAGGTTGCATGTATGTCAAAATTGAAGTTTAAGTGTGAGATATGTAACTAGGGAAATAAGCGAGATAAGCTTAAACGAACTTTTCGTGTTCGGCTTGCTTGAAGATTTTTTTATTTGTGTTAGGCTAAATAGCTCGTAAAGTATGTGTTCGTGCTCGACTTCTTTTAATTTTTTATATTTGAATTAAGTTCATGAGCTCGGCTTAGCTCGAAATAATAAGCTAATAAATATTTAATAAATCCTAAATAAAATTAAATTTAAAATTTTGATTTTTTATTATAAAATTACCATAGCTCGAAAGTTTTGTGGGGGAGTCATGCTAAGGAGTAAAAGTGAGCTACATATAAGAGTACTTTATTATTTGGAAAGAAACGAGTCAAAATTATTTTTGAATTATGCGATGTGGGATTAAACCACGAGGGGACTAGAGAGAAATTTTTTTAGCATTGTCATACATATCACCTAATTCATATGTATTTACATTTCTATTATAAAAATTTTATTTTTTTATTTACAATCTTAGCTAAAAATTATTTAAATTTTAATAAAATTAAATGTTTTTTTAAATAATATATAAATTTAATATATAAATATTATATTAATATTATTTAATCAATTTGAACTAAAATCGAGCCGAACACGAACGAACAAAACTTTACTCGTGTTGGGCTCATTTATAAATAAGCCTAAAAAATATGTTCGTATTTGACTCATTTGCTAAATGAACAAATCAAATATGAGTTATTTAACGAGTTAAACACAAGTTGTTCATGAACAACAATCTTTTTGACAGCCCTATAATTAGATAAGTATTGAGTGGTATAAATGTAAATATTTCAATAGGGTATTATGGGCGCTTAAGACTAATAACTATCCAGTGTTGCCACTTGGGGACAACAATTGATGCGGGGGTCCTCACTCGTCGCATGCAACTCATGAAAAAATGAGTTATGGAACATGCATGATAAATTTATGGGGAGACCAGGTACGTGGTACACAAGTTACACAACTATAGGTGTGTTTGTTTCGATTGTGGTTGTAGAAAAGTACAATTTAAAAGCTATTGTTGAAAATTTGTTATTCAGATGCTGGAGGTTCCGAAGCACTTGGCCTGTTTGAAAAACACAATTCTAAAAGTGTTGTCTGTTGACAAAATGAATGAAATACCCTTTAGTACATAAACACGGTTCAGTTTGAAAAACACGGTTCTGAAAAGTACTCCCTCTGAAATAAATCTAATGACAATTTATCAAGTTATTTTAACTCACAAAACCATAATGCAATTTATGGTGAACATTAACTGAATCTTCCACCTACAAAATAATAATACAAACATAAGTTCAGCATACACCGCCCCGAGGTGGGCATAATACTTGGTGGGCATAATACTTGTTAGTAGGCTCGACCATTTAAACTAAAGAATTCATGACATCTGTTTAGTTTGCAAATTTTGTGACAGACAATTCCTCTGTCTAATATAAAGATTAGAAAGAATTTATATTATCTAGGTTCCTAATTCTCTAAAAGAGCATGCCCATATAGTTAATTACATGTTAAATTATATAAATCACTTAAGAAAATCATCGATAGCAATCAGAGATTTCATCTTCAAGAATTCAAAGTTGCTTTTTTCATGATTATTTGTTGGAAAAGTCAAGTGAGAATGGACAAAATAAGAAAAGTTATTATCGAAGTCAAAAAGCGAAATGTAGGGGATGCCAAAAACTATGAGGGAAACCTCAATGATCTCCAAAACTATCCTATTGTTTGCCTTTACATCTTGATAGTGAAGTTATTTAATGTTTACTTCTATCATTTATTCAAATTTAGGGCTTACAATTATACAATATACAATTATGCAAATTGCCCAGGAAGATAGAAGTATTTATGTCTTATCGAATGAACAACCTCGGAATCCTAAAACAAAAGTTATGACTTTTATTGCACAACATGATTATGTAAAAGGCTTAAAGATAAAGTGATGATTTACGTTGTGCTTGACAAACAACCTCGAAGTCCTAAGAATTTATATTATTTAAGACTAAGAAAAAGTTTTGTTGACGTAGTTCTAACTCATTGTTGAGTTTTGATCATCATATGAAGTCATCCTCCATCCGCTTGCAGCTTATTCTGAACTCTTTGATTTTATGGTTTCAAGTTCAAGGTTGGTGCTTAGATTGACAATTATTCATTATTGTTAAGTCATTGAGTTTTGTTGCAGGGTTCCTCCTAAATAAGTTGCCTACTATTTTCTACCATAGGGGCCTTTCCAGATATATTAAATTATGCATAAATAAAACATGTTGTAAAGTACAGTAAAAATGCAGTAAAAAGGAAGTGGTAGTACATACATGTCACCTCTAATGTCACTGTTAAAGAGGTAAACTTACAAATACATCATGCAAGTATCATAGAAAATTAAGCAAACACAAAATACATGAGCATGTGTGTATATAAAAAGTCAAGTGACACATATATGAAAGATCAGAGTTGAGTATAAGAATCTAAGTAGTGGACTCAGAATCAGGGCAAAGCCCTAACGATTTCTCGAGGGACATCTGCAGGTAACCATCAGCATCATGTATTAAGACCCAACATAGGTTAAAAGTCTACTAGCAAGCAATTAAGGGAAGGTTAAACCTATTTTCCTGTTTGTGTGATTGACAAATGATCTTACCAAAAGACAACACTAAAAAAAAGTTCCTAATTTGGCATGCAGATAAATAATTTAGATTGACAATTTTTTTAGTAGCCAAAACAAGGGTTTCATCCATAAGTATATTTTTAACTACCATATCTATCAAATCAGACATTTCACAAATCAATCACACCATTGGGCAAAAACCACCAACAACACATGAGAGCAAGAGCAACCTTATACCAAAAGTTGATGAATAGTAGTATCAATCCTGCACCCTCACAAGGTCAACAGTTTTAGGAGACACCACTTTTCTATTATCACACATACTTAGATATCTTTCTCATCATCGTCTGTACCACCAAAAACTCCAACTTATGCAATTCTGATGATCAACATGTGGCCACATTTTAAATTTCCTCAGCTGCTTAAAAAGGTTTGAGCATTGTATTTGAGACTCATACCCTTAAGCATTGGGTATTATTGTAGGTTAAGTTGGAGCGGTACAATTCTCATTGGCATAATTTGATTTAAAGGGGACTCGAATCATACCTTGGTGAGTCCTTTTGTTTTGAGGATGATTTTCCTCAACAAATTATAATATGTCCCAATGTCCTATAGAATGTCCAAAATCTTTCAAAGATATTTGGAGAGTAACTATGAACAACTTTAGAATCTCCTAGACTATTTTAAGTTCATTTGAGTCTACTATATTGCTGAGTTGATCAACCCATGTTGAATTAGAGTTATATTATTATACTTTAGACTTGTTGATGTCTTAGTTAGTCCATGAGTGAGGTGAATGGCTAATTTCCAACTTTATTGTAAAAGTTATACAAGTGGAACCCAGAAGGGTTTGTTTGTAAATATCGGGGGTTTCCACATTCTTATCCTTGAATCGAACTTGAGTTTGTCATACTTCAAGATGCTTTTATTGTCACTTATATTTTTTTTGGATTGCTCCTTAGTATTACTAAGTTAAACCTAACTCACTACAAGGTTTCTTTAAGGCTTTAGGGGCAAATTTATAATTCTATGATATTGCACTTTAAAGAAAATTATTTTTGATGTTTGTTGCAGGAATGATGAATTAAGGTCAATGAATCAAAAAAATGCAAAAAGGAGCGAATTGGGAGCGAAAAGGACCAAAATGTGGAGATTTGAACTAAAGGGGCCGACAGCGCCATCGACGTCGCCGACGGCGAGTGTTTCCCGAGGCTACAAGACAAAAATCTCCAGAAGTCCGCCGACTGCGCCCTCGAAGCCGCCGACGGTGAGCTCAGCGGTTATGCCCAATCAGGCTTTGGATAAGGCTAAATTTTGAAGGGATACTTAGGCAACTCTTGAGAAAGCTCATCCACAACTTTAAAAGACTATTTTGGCCGAAAATTGATGGAGAAGAAAGGGGGGTTGGAAGAGAGTCTAGAGAAGCTGGAGGTTAGAAAGGTTCCATTAGTGTTTGTTAGAGTGTAAAAAAGTGTGAGGAATTCTTTGAGAGATTGTAAGAGTGAAAGGAAAGTGAGAGATTTATTCCTCCTTACTACTTCAAAGAGAAATTCTGTGTGATGTAAAGAAAGGAAGAGATTCAGAGGAACTTCGAGGAGTATTCTTGGGGAGAAATTAAAGATAAGTTATTTACTTGTTGTAGTTTATATGACTTTGATTTTATATATGAA